TTGACCACTCGGGTGCAACAAACATTAATATTAATGAGTCTTTGGATGACCATAAGAAACATGAACTACTTCAATGTGTGAGTAACTTCTCAGACGTTTTTACTGATATTCCAGGTGTCACCTCCATGGTAGTCCATAAGATAGACTTAGTCACGGACAATCCTATCAAACGGAAATTATACCCAGTTCCAGTTCACCTTAGGGATGCATTTGACCGAGAGGTAGACAAATTATTAAAACTAAAGTTCATTGAACCTTCAGTATCTGCACATTGCTCACCAGTAGTCATGGTTAAGAAGGAGGATAATTAATATAGACTTGTTACTGACTTCAGAGGCCTTAATGCTATAACTTGGTGGGATGCTGAGCCTATGCCCTTAATAGATAGCGATCTACACAAATTTTATGACTCTTCCTTCTTTTCAGAGATTGATATTGCTCAGGCATATCATCAAACAATGTTAGATCCTTCTCCTAAGCAGTACACCGCTTTTCCTACCCACCAAGGACTGATGCAGTATAGAACTATGCCCTTTGGTTTGGTAACTGCCTGTGCTACCTACGTGAGACTGATGAGAAAGGTCTTGGATAATATGCCAAATGTTTCAGTTTATTTTGATAACATTTACATAATGACATCGACGTGGAGCAAGCATATCCAAACATTAACATCAGTTTTACGTAGGTTACACTCACATGGCCTCACTGCCAAGCCAAAGAAATACTTCCTTGGGTATAACAAGATTAAATATCTCGGACTAATCCTTTCTAATAACTCTTTGCAGCCTCTCCCCAGTGAGATCGAAGCTTTATTAGAGTTTAAATTCCCCAAAACCAAGAAGCTCATGTGTAGTTTTCTTGGTTCTGTAAATTTTTATGCACGGCTTATCCCGAACCTCACTGATCTTACAGGCATCTTATCTGACTATCTTAAAAAGTCTGTGAAGGAACCTCTTGAACTTTCCGATGTAGCTCGTGAAAAGTTTAATGAGATTAAGGACATCTTCTCTAAAGACCCTATACTCAAAATTCCAGATATTAATAAGCCATTTTGTTTAAGGACTGATGCCTCCAATACCAGCTTAGGTGCGGTGTTACTACAGTGCCATGATGATACTCCCTTCCCTGTATGCTTCCTAAGCCGGAAACTTCTTCCTGCAGAAACGAGATACTACTCCACCATAGAAAAGGAATGTTTGGCCCTTGTGTGGGGTATCTCCAAACTTAAATTTTATTTACTGGGAAAAGAATTTATTTTAGAAACGGATCACAAACCTTTGATATACCTAGAAACTTTTAAGGAACCAACAGTCGCCTCTTAAGGTGGCCATTGGCACTCCAAGCTTTTAAGTTTCATAATGTGTATATCAATGGTTCATCCAATTATTTCTCTGACTGGTTAAGTCGTGACAGTCAGTAGATTGGTTGCCTTACGCGATTTCGTATTAGAACTTTTTCCTCGCCTATTCTTCTCATACTCCTTGACTATAAGTCTTGGTATGGGGGAGTGTGAGGGAAAAGTTCAACAGATAGGAGTAGCGAGCGAGCATGTGGTAATGATAGTTTGATTGCCAGCTGCTTGTTAAGGTAGGGTCAGTCTAGCTCCCACTATCCTCTCCCCCCCTTTTTCTCCACCCCGAAAGGTGACGTGTGGGGCTCCAGCCAAACAGTAATCACTCGACTCACAGCTCCCAGCACAACTGTAAGTAAAAGCCTCTGCTCCTATTCTAGTGGATATTGGTTGAAAGCTTCACTTTTGACCAATAATAAACTTAGTCCTTTCAGTTTTAAGCTCCACATGAGACTTTTAGATAGTCACCACCTTTTTTTAAGTATCTTGCACTTATCATGGAGAGTGATTTCTTAAGTAGTGGGCAACCTGTCTCTCTTTCCAGCTTGGAATGACAGATCGGGTCACCTGCTAACCAACAAGAAGTGTTGGAGATGGACTGAAACCTATCTACCTACCTGATTAATTGTACAGGACACTACCCCTCAGCTTTGCAGTGGTAAAGAACCTGCGTTCCTGTCATCTGGACTGACTATTCAAGGCTATAGACTCTGTGAAGAACTAGTCGTTGGGTTGTCACTCAACACCTGTGACCCCCCCCCCCACATCATCAGCAATGGTTACAATTTCTACAAGACGGTGTCAACCTCAACCAAACACCCCAGTATAACTGTACATATTAGCGTTGAATTCAAATGTCATTTTTCTATTTCATTTTTCCTTTTTCTTTCAAGTACAGGTCCTCCATCACAAATCCGCATATTGGGACCGTTAATGTCGGATTTACTGATTTCCGAATTCAGATGGTTAGGTTAGAATACTAATAAATTACCAACTTGATTCATTTCATTGACATCGCAAAAATCGAACATTTTCGCTACTTTGACTCAATTTCAAGGACTTTTCGTCATGAAAGCAATCAAAATATGTCTATTTCTGTAATATATCTTCCATTCTATCAAATGAGTCCAAAAAAAATGAGAATACAACCATAAAAACCATATAAAATATACTGCAAAGAGGCAGCTAATGAGCTGAGAAGTGAACTCCCTTATTTATCGTCGTCTTTTTTATTTTTGCTGTACATTGAAGAAGCATCTTCCATCATACATTGCCCAGGTTTCAATGAGATAAGCCCAGCAAACAACCGAGAAAAAAAAAATATTGACCAAAAAATCAATATATGAAAGCCATAGCCAGTATGAAATAAGTCACTTTAGTTACTTTTTGTTATCCCGGTTACTTACATACACTGCATGTATGAAATCTATGTAACTTATTTGTGTATCCCTAATAAACTTATTTACTTCTAGCTGTAAACTGAGAAAAGAAACCCCCTTTTTTTTCACTTATTTCAACTCCCCAAAAAGTGGTCGGGAAATTGGCAATTTCGCCGATTTCACACAAATTTCAACGATCCCAATTTTTAAAAATATGTCCAGAATAAACAATGCAGACTTTCCCCTGGCATAAAAAAAAATTTTCTCTGTTCATTAGTAGGCAAAGCCCCTCTTTATTACTCTTGCTTTTTTTTTGGAAATTTCTTATTCCCAAAAATAGAAGATTTACTGTTATGCAGACACTGCTTTATTGTAATAATTGTAAAAAATTCAATCCATTCTTGACCCGTACGGGGAATTTGGATGGCCGGCGGGACAGTATTGGAGGGTGACATCATTTGTTTATCTTGGGTTTCGCAAAAGGTAGAACATTTTCGCACGTAGCGCAATTTCAAGGATTTTTCATCATGAAAGAAATAAAAATTTTATATCTATTTCTGTAATATATCTTTCAGTCATCAAATGAGCCCAAAAAAATGAAATTTAAAACCCCATAACAACCATACAAAATATACCGCTAAGCGGCCCTAAAGCTGAAAGTGAACTCCCTATTTAGGTCTGATTGCTTTCATTTTTGGTGTACATGAAAAGTAGCTTTCCATCTAATTGCCCAAGTTTGAAAAGAAAACCCAACAAAAAATGAGAAAATAAAATAAAAATAATAATAAAAATAATAATAATAAAATAATAATAAAAATAATAATAATAATAAATCTTTATTTACAAAACGTCATGTAAAAGGTATCGGGCCCTAGCTGACTCGTGACAACTACTGTATAAAAAGGGCCTTGTTATGCTGGTTTTTCAAAAAAATTAGGTCATCCCCCGGGTAACACCCACACTAGTGACTAACACCCAGGTCCCATTTACTGATGGGTAAACATAGACAAAGGTTTTAAAAAAAAAACACCCCTAATGTTTCTACCCTGGCTGGGAATCGAATATTTACCAAAAGTCATATATGGCTAACCCAAGTCAGGTACTAAAAATAACCCACGTTGACTTTTTTGGGGTTTCCTAGGTTCTCTACACATATGCTGCTATGTGTGATAATCTATAGAGAGAAAATAATAACTTTTCTGTTTCATGTTATGGTGGAGTACGAGTGCATATCAAAGTTAGCCCTGTGCTATACTCCGTTTTCTCTAATATAAGCCACAAAACAAGGATAGGAGAATGGTATTTGTTTACCATATCCTCTTTATAACTCTGTCGAACTGCTCGGTGTTATGCCAAATATTATTCATTCTGGAGATTTAACATGTTTTATGTTATTTATATTGTTTTCTTATGTCATATTAGATCAACTGTGATAGGCAAATAAGCTGTAGTGTTGATATTAGCGTAATAATAAAGCATATTCTCCTGCATCATGAGACTGAGCTCATGGCAACCGACAGTGGCTTCAAAGCCACCTTATCTTTAATGGATAATGTACTGTGTAGGTGCTTTTCTTTTATTCACTGGAACCATGGCTAGGGCTAAAAGCAAGTTAAAACAATAAATGGAGAAAAAGAAATTGGAATGACTTATGCAGCAAGTAGCACCACCAAACAGTACCAGCAGGTTGGTGTGGCGACCCTGGAAATTTGAAATTATGCTAGCCAAAATTAGTGCCGAATAATGAAGGAACCGAATAACTGATTGCGGATTTGTGATGGCGGAAACCCGTAGTATATACCTTCATATTTCAATGTTTTATCTTTGCATTAATAAATAATAAAGTGTTTATCTTTGTGAATTTTTTTTTTCTTTTTCTATTTATTAATTTTCCTGAGGAGAAGCCCGCCTTGGTAATACTGTCTGAAGTTGTTACAGGGCTGAGTAAGCCTTCACAACCCCTCCCTCCAACACTTTCAATATTTTCTTGCTTTTACATTAGACAAAAATTAAATTTACAAGCAATACAGGTTTACTTGATTATTAACATACAGTGCCTTCACTAATACTATTTAAAAAATCTACATACAGTACATTTCTCTCTCCATCAGCAGTCATTCACATTATTATTATAATCAAAACCAAGTGCTAAACTCACCAGGGTCATTCCTTCACAGAAAAAATAAATTCATTCACACAATATGCACTTGTAATTATTTTTAATTAATCTCTCTAATTCTAAATTGATTAGAAAATTTTCAAATTTTTACCTAAAGCTCTTGCTGCATGTGAAGCAAGAGAATGGTCTCAGGTCCCAGTGAATTAGGTAGTGCCGTTTTTTAAAAGTACTCAGTGTTGGGAAACTTTGAGAACATTCCTGGCATTGGTAAGGAGGCTTAGTAACTGAAAAATGTAAATTTAATTTTAATAACAAAGTTAAAATTAAGTATAAACTCATTATATATTCATTAATAGGATGCAATAAACATGCACAGGTCAAACATGGCCTTGGGAATGTGATGCAATCTGGTTCATTCCAGAAAGGCTTTGGAGTCAAGGAATTAAACCTACCCTACACACCAGTATGGTGTGCTACAAGAGAAAGAATGGAATTTTTCCTGGGTCACCAGTATGGTGACCCAGGAAAAATTAAATATATTCTCCATTATTCATTCAATAGCTGTCTTGCTAGAAACATACAGGCATTATAGTTCAAATGACTCTCCAAACTTCAACATCCTCACCCTTCCTTTAAATTGCAGGCACTGGACTTCTCATCTCCAGGACTCATGTCCAGCTAACCAGTTTTCCTGAATCTCTTTCTCACACTTCAACAGCACATCAAGCAATAAAAACACTTGTCTCCATTCATTCTGATCTAACAAGCTCACAAAAGCTTGCTGGATACTTAAGCCACTAGAACTCAAAAACTCGACCCTCTCCCCCTAACCTTTCCTGGGATGATCCCTACTACCCCACCTTCCACCCCCGCTTTATACACCCTCTGGGTCGCTAGAAGCGATGGCGACTCTGGTGTTAGCTTGTGAAAGTACTTTTGAGATGTTCAGTGCAACCTGGCTGTTGGGAAGAATTATAACTTTGCTGGGAGTGGTGTTGATGCGTGGAGAATTTATGATCTGAAGAGCTCTTTTCTTGCAGTCTTTGATGAAAAAAGAAGGAAAATGTAACTCAGTGAATGTTTGGTGAATGTATGTACACTCCTCGTCAAGAAACTCAGGACTACAAATTCGGTATGCTCTTAGGAAAAACCGATGATGATGCCTCTTTTGGTCTTGGTATCTTGACGGGAAATAGAAGTGTGTGAGATCATTTTTATTGGTGGGTTTCCGATAAACTTGAAATCTTAGGTTGTTGTCTACTTTGTGAATGAGGACGTCAAGGAAAGGTTAGCTTGTCATTGGGACTCTTCTTCTAGTGTAAACTGGATCGCCGGTTCAACGCAGCTCTTCAGATCATAAATTCTCCACGCATCAACACCACTCCAGCAAAGTTATAATTCTTCCCAACAGCCAGGTTGCACTGAACGTCTCAAAAGTACTTTCACAAGCTAACACCAGAGTCGCCATCGCTTCTAGCACTTCAATAAAGGATATAACCAGGACAAAATCCCAAGCACCCCGAACAGTCAATGCAGGAGTTTACACTATACCCTGTGGAGGCTGTGACAAGATTTACATAGGTGAAACAGCCAGAAACCTCAACACCCGCCTCAATGAACACATTTACGTATGTAGGAACGATAACTTGAACAAGCCTGTGTACAACACCGAAATTCCACCAATCATCTCATGAAATTCAGAGACGCCCAATTAGTGATCAAAGAAACTAATTTCCGCAGGCGCAAGTGCCTCGAATCAGCACTGATCGCTGTTTCGAATACAGTTAAACAGAACAACGGCAGCTTCACCATCTCCGAAGTCTTAGCAAGAATCCTCCTGAAAACAGTAAACCCTGCCATCACATAGTCTCTCCTGTTTACTACACAAAGCACAGAGAGTGAACACTGAAACAAGCTGCCTCATTCCAGTCCAACCTATTTTTATGTTACCCAAGTAATAGCTTTTATATCCTTTTACTCATGTGCGAATTAATTGCTCTACCATATTGTATTATTTTTGTCACTACCACTACTACTACTACTACCACTAGTGAACATCGAAATGGTACCTCACTAGTATTACACCTCACTCTGAGCCTATATATACCCTCTGTGTCCATGTATTTTTTGTAATGGCTTGATAAAGCTCCTGGAGAGCGAAACGTTGCCACAATAAATGTCACATTAGTTGCACTTGTGTCCTTTTACTTTACATATTGTCAGTAATTCTACCAACTTTATTACACCCTCTGGGTCATTCCTTGGTTTATTGTGTCGTATTTTAGACAGAAGTTTGTTCCTTCTGTTCTCTAGCTCATTATTTTTCAACCTGTTTTGTTTTTACTGCACTGATTCTCTTTTTTTGTCTCTCTTGGTTTATGTCTACATTTATTATTTTTGTTCCTAGTAACTTTAGGTTTGGAAATGTTTTAAAGTTATTTATCACTCTTTTACTACTATTGTTTTATTTACTCCTACACGAGCATGTCTCTGACAAGAAAGTGATAAGAGTGAGTGATGGTGAAAATGTTTTTTCTTATTTTTGGTTCTACCTATCTTGGTGGGAAACAGCTGGTGTGTAAAAAAAAAAATAGTGTTTAATAAGCTTTTAGTTGTTAGGATTGGTTGATTTTCATTTAATAACAAATTACCTTGTAGGTTACTAGTATCACAAGCAAAAAACAGATACCCTGAGAATAACAGAGAAATATGGTATTGTAAATTATTTTTTATTATCAACAACTATGATAGCAACCTAATTTAAATATGCTAAAATTGGCATTAAATAAATTTACCTAACCTATATGAGAATTTACTTACAAGCCGACCCGCTTTATAGTGTTTCACTAATGCAGCAGTTTCAATTATACCCATTCTTCATTTTTTCAGACTTCCTACAATATATTCACTACTCACTATGAGCTAAGGATGAAAATATTATAGGGTAAGTATGTGTGTACACTGTACAGTAGGGCCCCACTTACATGGCAGGTTAGGTTCCAGGCTACCACCGGAAAGCAGAATGCCATTTTTTCCATTTATAAATGCCAGATAACAAGTTTACACTAAAATATATTAAGTTAGCAATAGAACTAGGTATTAAAAACAATAATAAGTAAAATACACACACAGTACACTCATTACTTAAACTATTTATAGTTTGAATGTAGGGCGAGAGGTAAAAAGTGCTTACTGTGAAAAGTCAGGTGTGGGAGGTATGGAAGCCAGCCAGGACACCCCACCCACACATAATATACTATGACATTTAAAGTGCTCCAGAGCGATAAAATGCATATACAGTACATTCATTACTTATCATAAAATATTTGTAGTCTTAATGTAGGGTGAGAGGTGAGTAGTGTTTGTTTGTAGGAAGTCAGGTGTGGGAGTTATGGAAGTCAGGTGTGGGAGTTATGGAAGTCAGGTGTGGGAGTTATGGTAGCCAGCCAGGCCAGGCCACCCAACCCACACGTAATATACTATGGCATTTAAAGTGCCCTAGAGTATTAAAATGCACATACAGTACACTCATTACTGACCTTACAATATTTGTAATCTTAATGTAGGGCGAGAGGTGAGTAAACAAGGTAAAACGAATAAATGAGAGAGAGAACGAGTGAATGAGAATGAGATTATTATTATTATGTATTATGATCATGGGGAGCACTAAACCCATAGGATTATACAGCACATGTGGGAGGATGGAAGGTATTCAGGCTCAATTCTGGGAATCAGGGGCACAGATCCAATTCCTTAGATCAAGAGTCCTTTACCCGCATTAAGGAACCTCCTATGAGGGGATGAGAGAGGAGAGAGAAACCCGGACTTATGTAAGCAAGCAGATGAATGCATCTGGTTTTGGTTCACACACGTAACATCTCATATTTATTTTAACTTATTCTATTGTGGGGTGTATTTATCATGTTTATATGTTACATAGCGTATTTATTATACAATTTTGAAAAAAATATCATGGATGGATTAATGAAAATGCTTATATTAACGTAATATACATCACTTTATGGCATCCTGAAGACTAATAAGACACTCTTAGTGATTTTAATGTGTACCTGAATGCCAGCACAGTGTGCAAGTTTATTTAGGTACAGGTACACATAAGTATACATAATTATCAGAGTATACAAAACATGAAATAACTTTAAAACACTTGAAATTTTGGAAGTTTCTAGACATAATAATAAATATAGTGGACCCCAACAACGGCAGCTTCAACTAATGCCAAATTCATGTAAGGCGCTCTTTGGCATCATAAAATTGGCTCTACCAACGGCAAAAAACTCATCTAACGGCTTTCGTCCTGAACATGTCCATGCGGCCGGAGCGCAGCCTGAGCGGGCCCCGCCACTCCAAGGCTCAGTGTGCCATTATTTACAAACCGTTGTGGTCAATTTCACGTGTACCTGCGATACATTTTGTATTATTCCAGTGTTTTTAGTGCTTGTAACTACTAAATAAGCCACCATGGGCCCCAAGAAAGCTTCTAGTGCCAAGCCTGTGGTAAAAAGGGTGAGAATTTTCAATGGAAATGAAGAAAGAGATCATTGAAAAATATGAAAGTGGAGTGCGTATGTCCGAGTTGGAAAGGCTATATAACAAACCCCATTCAACCATTATTACTATCTTGGCAAACAAAAAGGCAATCAAGGAAGCTGTTGTTGTGAAAGGTGCCAGTATATTTTCAAAACGGAGATGGCAAATAATTGAAGAGGTGTAGAGACTGTTGTTGGTGTGGATAAATGAAATAGTCAATAATATGTGAAAAGGCAAGGCAGTTGCATGATGATCTCATTAACCCTTTCAGGGTCCAAAGGCCAAATTTCAAAGTGTGCACCAATGTCCAAGAATTTTCAAAAAATAATTTTATTTTTTTATAAAATGATAGAGAATCTTCTTCTGAAGGTAATAAAATAAAAAGTATGAAATTTGATGGAAAATTGATGAAATTATGCTCTCGCGAATTTTGATGTGTCAGCGATATTTATGCATCGGTGATTTATGCAGACTTTGACTCACATTTTAGGCCAATTATATTACCTCAGTTGACCAAATTCTTAGCTATTTCACTAGTAATACTTCTATTCAATCGATTGAGCACAAGAAATCACCAAGTCAACTGTTTCAACTACAAAACAAAGTGATCGGAAATTAGTAATTTGGCCAATTTAATGCAAAGTTCAAAGTATTCTAATTTCAAAATAGGGTCCAGAATAAACAATACAGGCATTCCTGGAACTAAACTAACATTTTCTCTGTTCATTAGTTA